TTGTTGTATTTTATTCTGTTCGTTTCGCTTCATTAATGTGGTCGCACGACCAGTTGTTGAACTTCTAGACATTACAGTGTTCTTGTCTCCCATAGCATTCACTGTATATTTTGGTCCCCCTTCATTTCACTTGCTGGGCGACTCGGTGAGACACCTGGCGCGCGAGAAAAGAGTCTTTAGTCGCTCGACATACGCGCCAAATTACAGCCCCCATTGCTGACCTTCTTTTGTTTTCCCGAGATGCCGAGCAAATGAAGCGGGCATTGACGATCCTTCACGAAGTCCTATGCTGGGGAGGTAGACAGAGTGCAATTCAAAATGGCAATAACCTCTCCTGCTGCCGTAACGATGAAGTGAACGGAATAATAGAAAACAAAGACTGAAGATCGGTTATGGCGGCGCCCATGCACACCTGCTGCAATAATACTCTGGACCTGCGTTTGTTAACACCTTATTTGAGATATTTCCTTGGAAAATTTTAAAAACAAAATATTTTTACACCCTTAAGAATGTAAATCAACCTGTCCCAGTAAGACCCTTAGGGTGATAAATCCCCCTAGGCAGGTGTTACACGCTGAGGGTGTTACACCAGCCTAACAGTGTTACACCACGATAAGGACGTCATACTTGCAGCTCCAGCTGTAGAACCCTAATGACAGATTCGGGTGGTCATTTCCCAACAAAGTATTTTGCCTTATCTTCGGCAAGGGCGTTCGTTGCGCGCGAGTTCGCGCAACGACCGGGTGGCGCTTTTCAGATGCGCGCTGGCAATTCTCTGGCACACTTTTTGTCCGAGCTTCAAGAGGTCGGGCAGCTTGTCGACCAGACTGTGTCCGCTATCGTCATATCCGAATCGGGAAAGGGAACCAAAGGAAACAGTGCTCGCCGATGGCGGGTTCGAGCCGAAAATAAAGTCATCGAGCCAGACACCCTTTTGCTCTTTGGGAAAAGATTGCAAAAACAACGAAGACAAAGATAATTAATGTTGTTAGAGTTCGCGAGCAGGAAAAAAGCGAATTGAAAAAAGGAGGACAAAGTTTTTGAAATAATTTGTTCAGCTTGCCTAAGGTCCGTTTGCTCTAGGAATATGCGTGTCCCACAGTAAAAAGAAAAAAAAAATGTACGGCTAATGATGCAGCTCGACACTTGAGCATGCATTGCAATTTATGGGTGAAGGGGAGGGGAAACTGAGAAAGCTGAGGAGCTCATAAAAATAAAAAGAACATATATTAAGAACAGCGACGCTTGCAAGCCTTCTTGGGCGCCTTGTAAAATTGCAACAGTTCTACGGAAATCTAGACAAAATGTGTTGAGATCGACGCCTGTGCTGGCAGCATTACACAAATTTAGTAATCTGCCCTACCGTCAATTTGTCGATATTTCTAAAACTACTGACAATCCATTTTTGTTTACAAACATCTGAGAGAGCCTGATTTTATGTTGTTGACACATGCGGCGTTCTGATTGTACAATAGAATAATCGAAGAACTTAACAAAGCTCACGCGAGCGACCCAGGCAAACGAAAACGTCAGTTGTCGGCGTTTCATGTTTGGGTTTAGTGCGTCACGTGGTGCACCACCGGGGCGTTTCTGGTGGCCGGTGCTCGCCGGCGATTGACCACCCGAATTCGCCATAAGGGTGTTACAGTAACGGCCTTAGGATGCTTGAGAATATCCTATACATATCAGTGCTACCGATCTTAGCAGCATCCTAGGGACGTATGGCACATCGGAAGTTTAGCCCCATCTGCAGTACAAATATTTCGCCCGAATCGCGGGCTAAAAACATACTTCTCGTATAAGGTTCGTCAAAATATTAGGCGCTGGGGAAAATCAGCCATCTGCGCTAAGACCTTATGAACTCTTTTGGTTCACGTTGCGGCAGCGTTTCAGAAACGGGCCGTTGACTGGCGATGGGAAGCAGTCGACTCATCTGTGCGTTACCGGCAATTATACAACCTGCACCTTAATTGGAGGTTCGAGCAGTTCAATCGGAGTCAATTCACCGGCTGACGTTGTTTCTCGCCTTGATGAGTTTTGCTTTGTGTAATTTCTTCCACCGTTTAATTATTTAAAGAATTACAGCTGGTACCACAGTGCCAGTCGCTACGACGTCGTTTCTAATCCTCGTGTAATATTCATGGTGCTTATTTCAATTCAAACATCTTTTTTTTTTTTCATTTTTTTAACAAGGGGTGAGGATTAGACGAGTTTTGTCTTTATCATGTATTTATTAGGCTCGGCGGACATTAGATGAGGGAATAATCGTTACGGTAGGTTAACTAATTAACTCAAATCTGTTAATAAACTTTTTAATTATTCGTTTTAGAGGTGACATTGAAATTAGAGTATTGACAACGATTACTATTAGAGACCAGACCAATTTAAAGAATTCGCGAAGAGGTAATGCATTTTTAGACGTTAATCGATCAATTTTCGTTTTTTTTTTGTTTTTTTTTTTTATTTAAAAATTGCGTCCAAAAAGAGCCTCGCAAGTCGTGCCCACAATGACGCTTGGAAGAGTGACATGGTCGTTTCGTTCACGTCGTTGCTTGTGCAGTCGGCGCGTTCATCAAGGACATGCTGCTGAGATAACGACTACGCCACTCTTCCAAGCGTCATTGTGGGCAGGGTTTGCGACGCTCTCTTAGAGCACAATATTTGAATGTAGCGGAAAAAAAACGCGAAAACATTTATCAATTAATATCTAAGAAACTATTACATTTTCGGAAAATATTTAGTTGGTCTGACATCTAACAGTAATTGCCGTCAATAAAACAATCCCAACGTGACCTTTAAAACTAATAATTAAAAAGTTAATTAACAGATATTAGTTAATTAATCAACTTACCGCGACGATCATCCCCTCATCTTATGTCCGCCGAGCCTGATGAATACATGGTGAAAACAGAACAGTATAAAGTTCACCTTCATCTCAAAGCGATAGACTTCTGAAACAGAATTTAGGTATCTCTCATAGGAGCGTATCCAATTCAACATGTCGTAACTTTAAATATCATCGGTCCTTTCTCGTGCACACGCATAAAATGGAACTTTAATTTTCTGTGATCAGTGTGTAGTAATAGTATTTGTTTTTATTTGTAAGTGCTTCTTGATGGCAATTACAATTAATGACTAGTATGCTCGGTTCGTTCACCCGAGACTGTAGTGACGAAAATATAATGAACTTTTCAAATCGAATAAAAAGACACAGAATGGTGGTGGCGATAGCATCGTGTGTGTATAAGGAGCGAGAGAAACGAGCGAAATAGCCAAGTTTGAGACGCTCCCCTTCGCGCCTTTTTTTTTTTTTTTTTTGTTCCTCTCCAAAATTGTTTGCTTTATGGTCTCGAGCATTACGAGCTCCCACCCGTTCTCCTGCACACTCGCGGTCTTTTCGTTCATCACCGTTGCCGTTCTGTCACAAAATCGTCGAACAAACTCCATGTAGCGAGAATGGTCCGCCTTTGAATGAGATCCTAAAAGACAGTCAAAACCTCAGAGAGTCGTTTGAACTTGCACAGTTATATCTGGTACTCTACGATTTTGACCGACAGCTAGTGGCGAGGAGATCGAACTATAGGGGGCGCAGTTCCATTATCATCATCATCACCACAAACAATCGCTGTGTGGCAAACTCCGACGCCAGCACTCGACTAGCGTACGCCGCATCGTTTCCGCGCTAGCTGCATATTTGTTTGTAGCAATATGGTGCGCACTTGCTGCGTACTGCAGTGCTCGAAGCATGCTTTTGAACCGGGTTTATGCAGCGCGGATGACTGCAGTATGTACGCCACGATGCGAACACTGTCCGCCGTCGGCACTGGTACAACGCTGCACTCAGTGACATGATCGCAGTTGAGCACGTCCTCTCCTTCAACGAGACACCGCTTGCTTTCGCCGATGTCGTCGATTGTCGCAAGAGACGGGGTAACTGAAAAGTGATGTGCGTGTTTTGTGAAGAATTTAGAAAAACACGGACGGCCGCGCCGGCCACGCACGATCCAGGGCGCGCGGCCGACAACTCGCTGCTGGCCCGGCAAGCTCGCGCGGGAGCGGAAGCAGGTATTTTCAGAAAAAGGGGGGTCAGCGTATCATATGTTCAAAAACCTCTCTCCCCCCCCCCCCCCCCCCTCCCCGTTTCCTCGCCCTAAATGTTTACACATACAGAATTCAAAAGGGGGGTGTCAGGATATCCGTCACTACCACGCATGCGCCTGTTTTGCCTTCCAAAAGGATTTCGATGACATTAAACGCAAATGGGGCTAGATTACTTTTATCTAGATGAGTTTAGGAGAAAAAAACTAGTGTCACACATCTTTCACGAGCCTTGCGTCGTCGTCTTTATGGCAGCGGATGCACTAATGACTGCGGTCGAAGGGTTTGTTTGCCACACAGCGTTCGTTCCCAAGGTGGCCACTAGGGATCGCCACTCCTCGACCTCCTCCCCAACAGAAACGCAGGACGTGGTCAAGCCCGGTCATCTTATTAACGATCCGCAATCAATCAGATTCGGGCATAAGCCGATCGCCGAGGAACTAATCACGAAGCAAACAGTGTCTACTTAGCCTCAAAACACTCCAAGAGCATATATCTGCCATCTAGGGAATCAGATCAGCGAATGATAAGGCGGAACGTCCGTTTCGACCTAAGAGTGAAGTCTGCGCTGTGGCATTGCGCGTCACGCTTGCATTACGTAATGCCACAGCGCAGACTTAATTTTCATGTCTAAGTAGATGTTCCGCCTCATCATTCGCTGAGCGGATTTGGTTGATCGCAGAGATTGGCTCTTCGAGTGTTTTACGGGTAAGTAGACCAGCGGGCATTCTTGAGGGGGTAGTAAGCCACGCTTAGGGTTTCTGATGCTGTCGGTGACTTGGTCGGGCACAGGAGCAAACGAAGCTTTTTTTCTACGCATAATTACTGATGCCCATTTAATTCACTAGGTCCCCCAATGTCCGTTGACGTTCATTCAGTGATTTAGCCCGTGTTATTTTCAGGCGTCGTTGCCGTAATCTGCTTGCTGTTTCTCATCAACGCTCTGGGTGCGAAGGCAGCTGTTTTTATTTCGACTGTGTGGCCGATGCTGGGAAGGTAAGCTCACCTCAAACTCCCGATCACCCACCCCCTAAGACGGAACATACTGTAAAAGTTCGAAAAATTGATCCTCTCATTTAGGTTCTCATTTTTTTGTTTATTAAATGCGACTTTCAGACTCAATTACTTTGTAGTGAGAATAAGGTTTCAAACTATATACATTGTTAAGATTACGCGGTCTGCAGCAGAGAGGACAAGACCGGACAAGATCATAGAACACACGATGAATTTATGAAGGCCGGGCCAGCACTTATGGGCTTGCCGCGAGATGGTCGTGCACGACCTGCCTCGTCGTCGCCTTCGCCTTCCTCACGGTGTTTTGTACTTTTAGAAATCATTTGCCACTATAGTTCCCTGCTATTATTGTGCCTCAAGATTTCTTGGGTCGATTCCCAGTCTTGCTTTAACATTGACTGCAGCGAAGGCTATAAGCGTGAGTTCCTTGCTTTTCTTGATGCAGCGGGTGCCACTTTTGTAGCCTTTGAGGCAATCACACACGCGGACCATATGAGCTGAAGCACGCGATCCGGCCCTTTTCCTTTGTCTGCGGTCCCCACAACCTCTATTAACTTTCAATTTGTCGAATAGTCCCAAGTATGGAACCTCAAACTTCATATTTCATTCCAAGATTGGACCACAGCTCTCTCAAAAACTTGCAGGTATACGCCAATGAGGCATGAGAAACTGTATTGTCCGCAATAGTACACTGCGCGACCCTGCTAGCAAAAACACGACATCAGTGGGTTTTTTTTTTCATTTTTTTAAAGGGTATTGGTGGGCATAAAATTTTACCGCTTATGTTAAGGCCCCTAATGACCACTTGTCACCACAATAGTAGTTATGATTACAGTCCTTCGAGTCTTAGAAAAACAGGAAAAAAATACTGAGAATCGCTTGTTTGTGGTTATTGTATCGCACAGCGTACGTCAATGTAAGACACTGTAATTGGTAGCGGTCTCAGTGTGTTGTTTCGCTGGTGTTCTAAAGCTGACTATAAAAAATTCCCAGAATCCTACTTTTCTGCTAGCAGTCGAACCACAAATACAGAGGGAACTGGGCGAATGTCGAGGGTATAGCAAAGCCATTTCAGGAGAAAAATTACGTTTGCGATGTGAGACTGAAATGAACATCTTTCACATGCTCACGCTATACTCATGTAACACAGAACATGTTTCATGTCATTACGCCACTTTTAATGTTGGATCTCAGACTTCATATTTAGGTTGCAATATATTTTTCAGCTTCTTCGTCCGCCGAACTCCGCCACTCTATAAAGACCCTTTGTGTCTATTTTCCCGCAGAGCACTCCGCGAGAAAATCACTGCGATGTACGCAGCGACCACATCACATATGACGAGGCCGCGAACAAGTGCTCGGCGAAAAATGACCTCTCTAACGCCGCACTGAGCATGAGGTGTTCATATGAAACGTCTTCGCATGCACACGGCAAACTACCGTGAATTTTCGGTAGTGCCGCTTTGTGAAGGCCGCCTTCGCGTCTAATTTCCAGTACAGCGTGCTGGAAATCTAGGAAAACAGACTCGTCAATCGCGAAAGCTAGAATATTTAACAAAAATATATCGATATATATTCGTGCAAATGCGAAAAATCATGACTCAGTGTGGCAAGGAGGTTATTTTTGTGAGAAAGCGTTCTCTAACTGGCCAGTCTAATGTCACTATTCGTTATATTTAATGATTATGTCTCCTCGTATGCTGTGGAAAAGTAGGAATTCAGGTTTTAACACTGAACGTGTTTATGAGCTGCAATTCATGCTAAAAGCGCTACGCTCTAGTGCGACAAAAAAGCGTCACACGCAGGTGAAAGCCACATAACGCACTCGCAATCCGTGGCAGGCAATTCATAGGCACCCAAAGAGAAGGCGTACTTAGGTACAACAATTAATCATTATTAAATATAATTAGCCGTAGTAAGAACGACTTTCCGAGCGTCCCAGAGGGAACCACAGCTCGGAATCTGGGATCCGGAACCCGACGCATTTGTTGATGCAAATGCGTCGGAACAGGCGGCCACAGGCGAGCGCATCTGGCTTCTAAATGACGAAGCATATCTTCCCACGTCATCTCACAACGTCACGGGGCAGACCATGAAGCACCAAAGGAAAACGCAGAGGACATATGACGCCCTCGTAATTACTTCAGTTATCACAAGGGGCTCCTGGGAGTCCAAGAGCACTAAGAAAAACTTAAGGTGCTACACGCACTCTTGAAAGAAGCAGAACTCAGAAAAACTTCTAAAAAAAAAAAAAAAAGTTTGATTTGCCTCGACATTTCTGATAAACTAAGGGAGCACACGAGGACGTCGTGTGTGCATGTGCATCCGAAACCACCCCGAATCTCCCCGTAGTCAGGCATAACAAGTAATAAGGCACCCGTAATGCGCGAACGACACATTCTGTGATCCCCGGGTTTATCGGAACGATCGAGACAAGTTAATATTTTAATAACAACCAGAATTATATTAAGAAAGCCGCCGTAGAAACTTTTTGTAACTCATTTTTTTCCTCGTTGTTCGCGAGGTTTTTATAGATGTCGCAACGGTAGCCGCCCCGCTGGGTACCCGAGGCTTATTTGTCCGTTAGTATGTGGCAATAACCTCTTCGGCTGTCAAAACCCGCGGCGACGGAGTCGGCCAACATCAAAGCTGTATTCAGAAGGGTTTTAAAAGGTTACAATTAATGATAGTTCTACTTAAAAAAAATTTAAAAAAAAACACTGACGAAAGGAAGGCAAGCGTGAACGAGACAAAAGGAAGGCAGAAGTCGCGTCCTGCCTACCGGTGCCTTCCTCTTTTCGGCGTATTTTGGCATATAACCTTATACCGATGAGATGTAGCGCAACTATATCATCTTGATCAGCAATACTAGTTTAGTTTATTAAATTGTGGTCCGACATTTTTCATGCATCCCTTTGCCCGGTATCCCGCAGAGAGCTCTACAGTAAACAAAATTGAAGGATACATAGCAAATGAAGCACTCAAGACGGCCTGTGCTGTTTCAACTTAATACTCAAAGGAGGGGTTTTGCCCCAGAACTTCCCTCGGCGACATCACTGCTCCACACAGTACAAAAGAACAATTTCTCTCGCATCTCAGCAAGGAAAGGAGCAGCATCCGTGAGCGCCCTTTCTTCAAGAAAGTCAAGCACATAACCAAACCTTAACCTGATACCTGGCGCGCCTCGGCCTATTGGGTCACTGGGCGAAGGGCTGCTTCTTTGTCGAGTTTTCCTGTCCTACGGTTTTTGTGTTGCAACGTAATGTGGGATGCCGAGTGACGTTGCACGTGCTCCCTGTCCCAGGGCACATAGCATCGCTCGACCAGAATGTTGTTGGGCCCCTTCGTGTGTTTGTCTCCTTGCGTAGATATCCGCAATTGGCCCTATGCGCTTCAGATGTGCCCTTCACTCTAAGAAAGGCCGTTCCCGGCAGGGCTCATCGAAAAAAAATCACAATAATAGGACCTTTCGCAGATCGTTCGCAGGAGCTTTGCCTTGCTAGCGGCAGCTTGTGCCGTCACGTTGACCACGGATTGTGCGCGGGCACCCGCAGAGCGCGCAATACACAGCTTACGATCTACGAAAAGTCCCTAATAAAAGGAGGGAGCCTAATTAACGGGTCGCCTGTCTCAGAAAACGTTCTCACCCGAAAAATGCCATCCACGCTGTGACACTGAGCAAGTATAAAATTCACGGTCCGTGTCCCCTCTCAAATTCAATTTCTGGAGAACCGAATATAATTTCGGAATCATTGGCTAACTGGATGGAGAAAAAAAAATCATGATGATTTAAACCGTGATATAAATGAGACCAGTATTACTATGACTTGAATCAAAACTTTCCAGCAAAAAAAAATCCCAAGCTATTGTTAATTTAACGTTTGTCTATTGTATGATGTTTTTTATGTGCACCTGTTTTGTATTTAAATAAAATAATTATCAACAAAGACAGATTTATATCAGGCTGAACACGAGCAAAAAGCAGTGTTTTCCTTGGCAAATCGGAGCGTGGAGCTTTCTTTCTTTCTACCTTGCACTTCGTCAGTTATACGTCACATAATATTAAAAGTAAATCAGAACCCAAAATAAAGCTCTTTAATTAACTAAAAAGACAAGCTTTATTTTTACTTTAGTATGGCTGGGTTTACAACAACAAAAAGTTGTTAATTAAACTGTGCTTTAATATGTAGGAACTTTATCCAGTCGTCGGACGGATTGATCCCTCAATCTGTCATTTTTTTAAACAGATCAAGTGATAAAGCATTACTATTTTCCAACTAAATTTGTTTAAATCAAATAAATGTTATATATATATATATATATATATATATATATATATATATATATATATATATATAGGGAGTAAAAGAGCGTAAGGGCGTAAAAAAGTATATATATATATATGTATATATATATATATATATAGTCAGAGATCCGTACTTGCGGAGTTGCTATGCTAGGAGATGGCATACCATGCCATCTCCTGACGAAGCCGAGCCTCTCGGCGAAACTGTCGAAATACATGCAATAAACTCCTAGCATAGCAACTCCGCAAGTACGGATCTCTGACTTATATATATATATATATAATTTTTTTAAACGATTTTGTTTCCTTAAGCTTTGGCCCAGCTCGGTTGGCTTCTGGTGTTTTGTCCATCGCCGCGATTAGCTCTGCGGCATGCTCTGCGGAAAGTTGACGCGCTGCCATTCTTCGGGGCGTAGCCCTTACTCGACAAGTTTCCGATATCGATAACCGTGACGCCGCTTTGTCCCCTCGCAGTATCAGAGCCATCGACAGGGCGGACGTGGTGGCTCTCCAGAAATGGACGGCCTACTGGATAATGTACGCCCTGATCAATGTCCTCTTCAACTTCATCTTCATCGGCATCCATCGCTACTTCAAGCGGATTTTCTTCGTTAAGGTATCTGATGTCGGTTCTGTGCTTTAAATGGATAACAGAACCGTCTACTCTTAGACTAGACAACTTTCCCCAAACTCGTGTCGTATACGTCAGGGATGCACCATGTTAGCCACATCTCTTTGCGTTTTTCGCGTTACCAGCCGACGCCAAGAGAACCTGGCTGCGAACACGTCGCACTGATCAAGACCGCTTAGGTCCTCAAAACCCTGATTTGAGTGTGTCGGCAAGCAGCTTTGTTTTCTTGTCAGTTTGCTGGGAGTAGTGATCGTGTGCCCATTTGTTTTCGTGAAAAACAAATCGAGTGCTCGCAAAGTTACGCTTTCTTTAAAACCGTTTGATTAAATGACTCAACAGCAAGTCACTAGAAGAATTACTTGTGCCATTTATTCAGACTGGTACCTTTCCGACTGCTTTATTGAATCTCTTTAGATTCTGACTCATCGTCCTATTTTCTTTATATTTACTCAATAAAACAGCATTCAAACTATGCTTCATTAAAGTTTTAGTTCCTGGGCTTCGGTGACTTACGTGAGACGTTATTACATATTTTGTTTGAAGTGTAAGGTAGAAGGGTGGTTTCATTTGAAATTAAATACGAGTGTCGAAGTGGGTATTTTGATTTGCCCATTATTTATTTTTATATTTATTCAAAGTACCTCAAAGGCCTGTTGGCATTACATGAGGGGGGACTATACAGTCTGATTAACATGGATAAGAAATGGAACTGAGCACGCCGACTCCATACAAACAATAATACAACTGCACGCATCAAAATATACCAAACAATTGCACAGCTCGGTGACATAAAGCACATAATGACAAAACATAATAATACACACATGCGTTAACATCTCGAGTAATTCAAAATATAAATACAGTGCCCAGTTCTCAACGAAAGAACATCGTTACACATTTTTAATTAGCTAAAATATATTGGGTAACTCTGAACGAAAAAAAGTGTTGGATCGGAAACTGAAACAACGGCCTCGGGAAGGGGGGCTATTTTCGACAAATGTTTCATTTCTCCTAAAAAGAAACGGATGTGACGGAAGTGGCAATATCGCGTCTGATTGGCTAGAGGCTAAAATGGTGACAGAGGGAACCTTAGTCATTTGAGCCTTTAACCAATCAGACACGATATCGTCACTTCCGTCACTTCGGTTCTTTTTAGGAGAAACGAAACATTTGTCGAACATAGCCCGCCTCGGCTTGAATGCACGTGGCAGGGACAAATTATTGAATCATAATGATGTCCCAAAGATGCGTTTAAAACTCCTAGTGTTAAAGTTACATGATTCCTGGTTCAGGGGTTCCAGATGCAAGAACCAAGTCCCACCGGGGCTGTGCCATAACCAGTGAATTAGGCATAAGAGAGAAATGTTACATCGAGTTTCCAGTAGACGGATAGAATAATTTTGCTTTATGAGTGACACGCTGTCGAAACGCGAATATCATGAAGAAATAAAGCGGACAGCTCGGTTTTGAATGGATTCGATTTGATTTAAAAGGTAGCTTTGGTGAGGGGCCCAGATTGCGCAAGCGTGCTCTAATTTCGGGCGAACATAGGTTTCATAGGATAATTTGCGGAGATGAGAGGGCGCAGATTTCAGATTGCGTTTCAAGTAATCGAGGGTACGGGGCGTTTTAGCGGTTATCGTATTAATTTGGGAAACCCAAGAAAGATTAGAAGTTAGTTCAAAACCGAGGTACTGATAAGCAAAAACAGCGATGATGGGTGAATTGTTGAGTAAATATTCGAAGTCTGAATTTGTGCGTTTACGGGTGAACGAAACAAGTTTACATTTTATTGTGCTAAGGGTCACTTGCTATTTGTGGCACAAGTTAACTCCCCGATCAATATTACTTTGGAGATGTAAGTTGTCGTCAGGGTTGTTGATCTTTCTGTACAGTACACAATCGTCAGCAAAAAGACGTACACAGGATGTCAGTGACTGCGGAAGATCATTAATGTATATTTGAAATATAACACTATATATATATATATATATATATATATATATATATATATATATATATATATATATATATTGTAAACGAAGAGGGGAGAGAGTGATTATTGAACTTATTGCAACAATGTTAGAGGAAGGGAAAGGAAATACATAATACCGTATTTACTCGAGTAATGGCTGCACTGTTTATGAAGAAAACCTGAGTGCTCGCTTTTCCGCGGAGCACACGGATTGCCAGTCACCGCGATCGACAGCATGACCCCAGCGGTTTACAGGACAGAGATAACGTCTTCGCGCGAAGATACCATCTGTGAAGATCGCATTTGTATTTAGAAGCGTGTTCTCAATCTAATTATTCGCTATGTTATTTATGCACAACGCGATGATTGGCTGTATATGTGCTCTGCGGGGAAAGTAGACGCAAGGGCCTTGTTCAACAATGGTGCGGCTACACTCTAAAAAAAAGTATGTGCGTCTACTTTCACGCACAACACTTGGAGAGCCAATCAGCGCAACTTACGGAGGCAGCTCAGCGAATGACGATGCCGAAACATATGTTTAGACCAAAAAACGCAGTCTGAGTTGTGACATTAAGCCATGCAAAACGTCACGCTTGCATTGCTTAATGTCACAACTCAAACTGCGTTTTTTGGTCTAAACATATGTTTCGGCATCGTCATTCGCTGAGCTGCCTCCGTAAGCTGCGGTGATTGGATCTCAGCGTGTTTTGCGGGAAAGTTAACGCACGGGCTTTTTTTTAGAGTGATACTACTCGAGTAAATACGGTATATACAGAATGTGTTTTTTTTTTTTTCTTTTTTAGATTTTTAAAAAGATGTCAAAGTTACACTTATGCGGTTCGTGCAGATGAGTTATACGGCGCCAGGGGGACATAGTATAGGGGGCTAATCGTAACGTTCAGTCGGATAATTAATTACATTTCGTTAATTAACTTTTTAAATAATGAAAATAGACATATAGTTCCAACTAGAAACTTGCTGAGCGTTATCAAAACGCACTAAATTCGTAATTTTCAGAAAGACTTTGAGCACGTGCGAAGCGTAGTAGTGTACCAAAGTTACCACTCGTGGAGCGGGTAGATGGCTGGGGCCAGATAAAAGACGAAAAAATCGCACGGGCGCCTTACCGCAACCGCTAGCCTTGTACCTGCTCCACGACTCGGACCTTTGGTGGTTTCGGCGAGTCTTTGTGCGAGCTCGGACATGAGATTATAATCCATTCTCCCTGAGCGAAGCGAGGGGTGATCGCGCGTAGCGCGATTTGTTTGGAAGCCTAGCTTGGAGTCCCAAGCTTGCGTTGCCACGTTCGCTTTAACAGACTGCATTCGTAAATGGTGTCTGTTAATTATGCCGTCTAACAGACGGCATAAGAGTCCGTACTGCAATAAATACCCTCTGTACTTCCGGATGCCTGCTAATAGACGACGTTAGCAAACGAAAGGCAAGCCACGTAGAAGTTCCATGAACGGATGGCCCACAACATCGCGGAGGAGCCGCGGTATATCTACACTCAGCCTTCCGGGAATCGGGAAGCCGCTTTATGAGGATCCCCCTATGCTGAGTATACGCTGGAGCGTAAACCTCTGTCGCGCTCGCGACCCCTCTAGCCAGCCTTCCGAAACACTAGGTTATTTGAGTAAATGACGAAATATTTGTTATGTATTCCGTTCTCCAATCCTATATAGACCGCAAGATCCGCAGTATTTCAAATAAATAAATAAATGCTTTTATGGTTGTCAAAGCAAGAATATTGTCAAACCACTTTTTTTACGGGAAACATAGAACGTCAGTCATCTCCATATTTCCCCAAAAATATAATACAATGCATAGCTCTTAGCACCCTCTTACAGTCACTCTTAGGTGCAGCTTTCTATACGATTGGCCAAACGACGGGCATTAGAGCACTGTGAGACTGTCAACTTCGACGGTGTTAGTTTAAGAACCCGAGGGCTTCTAGCTTCCACCGTGCTTTTTTACAAACACCACCAACCGTGTCGTCGCATCTGATGATAAATAATCCAGCATCACAACTCGTGACGTAACGGCGAGGCAAATCCATGGTCGTGACGTCACAGATGGAAATCTAAGAGAACGCCACCGAAATATCTCGGCACTAATTTGCCACTCCAGCGAAATTGAAGGCATCTAGCGGCTAAAACAGAAAGCTGTGGTGGCAGGTTCGCTCACCAGCCTTCTCAAGCGAATCACATATTCACAGCACCTGGCGGTGTAAAGACGAAGCCGTGAAAGTAGATTCCAAAACACGCGATGAAAATCGTCAATACACTTGCCCTCAGGCCCCAGGGGCAGGCCCGCCGGACTTCAGGGCTTCGTGAGGAAGGAATGCTTCCCCGTTTGCTGAAAGCGCGGGTCTCGGCACGTAAAACGAGTCACGGACAAATTGGCTACACTAAAACGCTGTGTCGGATGAGCGCGAAAACTGCCATCGCAGAAATTCACGAGCAAGGGCGTGACTGGTGTTTCGAATGCAGCGATGATCAGTCTTCACGCAGGCATTTCTGAGAGCACCTCACTGCTGAAGACCTTCGGGGGAAGAAAGAGTTATGCGTCCGCTCCCCGGCTGAGCGAAAGGAAGCCAGGCGCTGCATGCCGATGTCAGTGGAGTTGATTGAATGACGAGATCCCGTTGACGGCGGCGCCTCGTCCCTGACGTCACTGTCTGGGACACCGAATCTCAGCGCAGGTTTCAGCCGCAACGTAGTCCAATTCGGCGCTTTCGTCGCAGGCTCTCCGCGTGCTTAGCGCGAAAGCAGGAGCGCGAATTGTGTTCCCTCGAAGGTGTTCGGAACAACGAGCAGACGAGGCTCTGCGCGGCGTCTGATTCTCAAGCGTCGGCCCCTGAATCTCTGTTGCCGATCCGCAGCTGCTCCTGCTGGCCTGGTGCGCCGCTCCCATGCAAGCCAACGGTGCTAACATCATCTTCCAGAAATGTCTGGCTGGCAAAATCTTCAAGGAAGGCTCCCTGCTGCCGCCGATGATGGGCGGTGGCGGCCTGCCGCCTCCCATGTCCGGCGGCAAGAAGGACGGCTCTCCCGACAATAGTCGCAAGATGAAGAAGTAGACGCCCCAAGTGAGTGTCATGGTCACGGTAGAGGGAAAGGCGGTGGGATGAAAGCCAACACTACCTAGGTAAGAGGGCCGTAGTCGTGAATTTCCTACTTCACCTTTACAGAGGCGAAAGGGATGAAGGGATTAGACACGAATAGCTGCGTCAGCGTTCGGCGGAGACTCGTGTCCAATCAGCGTGGACCCGAGTCCCAGCCGAACACTGACGCAGTACTCGTGTCCAATTCGTGTCCCGCGTTCTCGTCCTTAGGGTGGCGTTGGAAATTCAGCCCTACGGCCCTCTTATCTAGAAGGTGTTGTAAAAGCTACAAAACAGAAAGGAAAGTCACGTTGACCTTCCTCGCTGTTTTGCCCTCTAAACAAGGCAGCGTTGTTTTCCCGCGGTGATTAAGCTCGATGTCTCCCAACACTGTAAGCTCGTTAGACGTTTACTTCCATGAAAGTATATACTGTAGAACCCTTAATGTTCGCGAGCCCTCAATTTTCGCGAATTTCGCGAATTGAAGAATTCGCGAAATTTAAGGGCGCGCGAAAATTTCGGTCCTTAAGATTTTCAATGCAGGCGTCTGGAATTCGCGAAATTTAGTGGTCGCGATTATGTCATTTGTGACCAATTCGCGAAAAATAGGGGCCGCGAAAATAAAGGGTTTTACAGTATATTATTCGCAAAATAATCTACACTAATTAATACCTTTAGTTTCCACAGATGCGCTGTATTAGTTTCAGAAATTCGACGGTTTACGATCTGCTTGTTTTTGTCGGCCCGCTTGATACGCTCCACGAGCGTGTAAGCATTGGGATGAGCTCCCCGATGATATTGTCACTGGCTTCAATTAAACGTTTGATATTATTACGCGCATAAGTTTGGTCATGCTGCGAAATTTATTAAGTGGCACAAGACCTCCGAGGTGTTCGCCTTCGCTCAGCTGATTTTGTAATAATTTTTAGCAACTTTTATTTATTCATGTATTTAGCAATAGTGCAGGCCCCACACGGGGCCCAAGCAGGAGAGTTTTTACACATAATAAAGCAATAAAAAAATACCAAAAATATAACCCTACATTCTGTTACTTTAAAGAGAAGTTTATCCTGAAGTATCTAATTGAAAGATTTGGAGTAAACAAGAAATATTAATCTAATTGGCCGACTTGGTCAAGTACTGAAGCGAATTCATGTGCTATGGTGATCAACTGCGTGGTCGCATAGACCCGTATTGATTATTAATCAACACGGGTCTATGACCATGTTGATTATTAAAAACGTAGGCTAAAAAAAGGCATAAACATACTTGACTACTATAAGTTCCATGAGCTTGCGTAATAAACAGGTCAAAGATATTAGTCGGAAATTGGTGACCGTCATGTCATCGCCTTTCTTATGAACAAAATCGACACGTGCTCCTTGGGATTTGTCAGCAGAATTGCCTCGTCTAGGAGACTGAAGTCGTGTGTCTAGCAGCGTGATTTCAAAATCCGAACAATGAACAGAGACAGACTCAGATGTCTAGGCTTGACCGGATACGGACACGCAGCAACGAGACGTGAGGTTAAATAGCTGGGAGTTTGAGGATGGAGGGGGTAACTTAGAGCTTTCAAGGCAGATATTTCTAAACACTTTTTTTTTTTTTTTTGTCTTGAACGCTTTTGAGATTTAATTCAAACCTGGTGTTATGGAGCCGTTGACTAAAACACTTGGCTTTCCTCGTGCTATACGGGCAAGTGAAGGCATGGCCGTTCTGGAGCACGAAGGAACCGGAGTGCGGCCATTTACTTTTTCTTGCTTGGAGCTCCTTACGAGTCATATTAGGTATTACTTTTTTAAGAATGCTGGGAAGCTTATTGGAGGTCACAAATACTTAATCGTTTAATGAAAATGTTCTTAGCCTACCATTTTAGTCACGCGTCTATATAATCCGGAGTATCTCTGCGAAAAAACCAACGAGACGGATGTTTACACAGTATCAGCCCGCATGTGACTTTAGCTAGTTGGGATGCGATGACAAATTTTCAGAACTAAACTTCATCTAATTTACCAGTTCGGGCCGCTTTGAGAAAGAAAATATTCTATGTAAGAATGGTGTTCCTACTGGGGTGCTATCCTGGTCAAAAACGCGAACCAGAAACCCCCCCCCCCCCCCCCCCCCCCTGGGTACCGCGCGCTCCCATTGGCCAGTGCGCGCATGACAATTCTACGCTGTTGCCATGGGAACGTTCGCGAAATACGAAAGCAAGCGTTTGCCGTAACTGTCGCTTTTCGAGTTCGGATCGTGACTACAAAGTGACATACGACCACGAATGACAACGTATGACCTACGTAGTACATAGCGGAAGTCGCGTAACTAGATTAACTGCGGCATTACTCAACACACTTTATTCTCTGTTCCATTATGAGTGCGAGCTAGTGCGAGTGTATGAGCTCTAAGAACGTGTTCCGGGCTTTTAACGTCCCTGTCAAGCAGGCGCACTTACGCAGTGCCAGCCAACGTTCGTGCGAGCATCGTTCGGGTCGATGTGTTCGTGCTTGTAGTTTCTGTTTCGATTGTACGAAGTGGAACAAGCTTTAGGGAGGATTCTGGAACGTAAAAAATAGTGGCGATGCTTGTTGTGAAAAGATGGCTCGACCATCGCACACAAGGAAGGGTTTTTCGTGAGCACGAGGATACCTTCGAGATGCACAACGACTACTTCCGACGACCATACCGCTTGTCGAAAAGCACAGTACGACGGCAGATTGACCAGCTGCGCGGCGAGAGACGGCGACCATGATGACTTTCGAGCAACAGCTACTAATCGAATCGTGCTGAGATTTTTCGCAGCGAGGAGCTACAAGGGCATGGTCACCACCCATGATCACATCGCTAATGCCAGTCGATGGTGATCAGAGCCGTGACGGCTGTCGCGAGCGTCGTTGTCAACCGGCTGGCATTAGGCGGCAGGGTGGACAAAACCCCGGACCGAGGTAGCCAAGGAATCTGCGAAAAAAGGTTTTCCTTGCCACCATGCACGGCAAGCTCACCGACGTCGTGGGGTGCGCTGACTGAACCAAGGATCTAACTGAACCTTCGTCACCACCATCGGTCTGAAGGAGACCGACACCGTTCTGAAGGCCTCCTACATTTTGCCGCAAATACCGCTTTGCCATCAACACTGCAGTAAGTCGACGTTAAAGCATCAGTGTTTATATCGCTCCGAAGTTAGTGCACGCTTAGTACCTATGTCTGCAGTTGACCATTTGTTACGGTTTGTAGCTCATTCACGCAATAAAGTCTGAATGGGTTGTTGAAGGCAATTTATTGTATCAATTAGATATTTTACTTTTGCACGCCAAGCTTCTGCAGTTGCATGCCAGTCATCGGACAGTCCTAAGAAACACTGTTCGATGCTCTGCAGTGCACTGTTAGAACAGGTGGGTCCTAAAATGAGTCGTTAGTTGTTTAGACAGCAGGAGTTTAGTCTGCCAGAGTATGGCAACATTGTTCCTTTCTTTATACGACAAATTTAGCCAGTGCCTTCCTGCGGATGGTTGTCATCTTCGTAACCAAGAAAAACAATAAAATACATCATTGTCCTACTTTCAACACACGTATGTTTAATGTAAAGGTTATAATACCAATTTAGTGGACTGTCGTTCCGAAAGTGACAATTGCTCATTAAAATTAAAACCGTCGTCAGATGGACCAGCAGTCATTCCTACACAAATCTCAGTGAGCTCATCGTATAATTCGCTTCTTTTTTTTTCTTTTTTTTTCTTTTTTTTTTTGTCAGTGCATTTGCAGAGCGGTTGTTGGGTGCAAGTCTTTCTAAGGCCGTTCGCGGCAGCCTCAGTGCGAGCAGAAGCATTGCTCGCTTAATGTCCAAATGAGGTTTGGATTACCCACGTGTAACAGCGCTGAATAAAGAAGGCAGATTTCTGCCGATTATGTTTACTTTCAGGTTGGTCGTTTGGTGTCAAGGCGAGGTTTTGAATCTTGACGCACGGCAACGCTGAATGAAGGTCTCTTAACATCTTCAGCAAGGCCGTCGTCACGAGCCACTACAAAACACCACTCCTATCAAGCCTCATGACATCGGCACAAATAGAGGCCGAGTCTTTCATCTCGCCAAGGGTTGAATCGGCGACGTTGAACGCCAGCTCACCGTGCTCTTCGACCCGGTCCTGCCGCCGAATGGACTCATCCAACGTCACAAAAGCATTCGCGTGCGCGTTGGTCAAGTTACCGATCGTATAAGGCAAACCCCAGCCTCGGTTGAACCGACGAGCATCGCAGCCATGTTCTTTCAAGATTTGCGGCCATTTTATCTCTAGTTTATTTCGCCAAAGTTGTTGAGTTTAAACAACGCAAAGAATACCGTGCGTTCTTGTTCTTGCGTTGTTTTGTCGTTACAACCCGAACTCGAAAAGCGACTGTCAGCGGAAAATAGAGGCTTTCTAGATTCACGAGCGTTTCTATGGCAAAGAGAGTCGAATCGTCAAGCGCACTTAAGTCAACGGGATTGCGAGGTGCCTATGTAGGGACGGGTAAAAAAGTAAAAACCGTTGTTTTTGTTTTGTTTTTGTTTTTTGTTTTTTTTGCACGAGTTTCTGTGCAAATAAAGTAGTAAGAAAAAAGACTGTCCGAGATAATGTGATCGCTTCCATTTCTTCAGCGACGAAAGAAAAGAGCATGGCTTACGGGGATTACCGTCGTAATCGCTCTAGTGAGCTAGGAGAAAAAAGCATTATTAAAACTGTCCGAAGAAACTTTCCTGCATCAACCACAGCGTGTTCACAACCGGTGCACTCTGCGTCGTTCTCACGACATGTCAATTATTAGGGGCGAAGCTCCTTAGGGTCTAGCCTTGTCCGTCCGGCGTCTGTGCTCACATCGATTGCCATCCCATCTGTCTTCTGAAGAAAAAAAATTAAAAGAAATGTTTGCGCAGTCGACAGGATTCGACCCTGTGCGGGGCAGACTCCAATGGATTTCTAGTCGGGGCTCTGAGATGTGGTAGTAAC